GAGCAGATTCTCCTGGAAGGCATGCTAAGGCACAGGAAAATCAACAAGGTGCTTGGTGACAGCCAGCATGGCTTCACTAAGGGGAAATCCTGCCTGACCAATTTGGTGGCCTTCTATGATGGGGCTACAGAACTGATGGACAGTGGTAGAGCTGTTGACGTCATCTGCCTGGACTTGTACAAAGCATTTGACACTGTGCCACATGACATCCTTGTCTCTAAATTGGAACGACATCAATTTGATGGATGGACCACTCGGTGGATAAGGAACTGTCTGGATGGCCGCACGCAAAGAGTTGTGGTCAATGGCTCAATGTCCAGCTGGAGACCAGTAACGAGTGGTGTCCCTCAGGGATCGGTGTTGGGACCGGTCTTGTTCAACAACAGACAGTGGGATTGAGTGTGCCCTCAGCAAGTTTGCCGATGACACCAAGCTGTATGGTTTGGTTGATAATGCTGGAGGGAAGGAATGCCATCAAGAGGGACCTTGACATGCTTGTGAGGTGGGCTGATGCCAACCTCATGAAGTTTAACCATGCTAAGTGCAAGGTCCTACACCTGGGTCGGAGCGATCCCACACACAGCTACAGGCTGGGTAGAGAAGAGATTCAGAGCAGACCTGCAGAGAAGGACTTGGGGGTGCTGGTCCATGAGAAAATGAACATGAGCCGGCTTCAGTGTGCACCTGCAGCCCAGAAAGCCAACCGTATCCTGGGCTGCATCAAAAGGAGCATGACCAGCAGGTCGAAGGAGGTGATCCTGCCCCTTTACTCTGCTCTTATGAGACCTCATCTGGAGTATTGTGTGCACTTCTGGTGTCCTCAACATAAAAAGGACATGGAACTGTTGGAACAAGTCCAGAGAAGGGCCATGAGGATGATCAGGGGACTGGAGCACCTCCCATATGAAGACAGGCAGAGAAAGTTGGGGCTGTTCAGCCTGGAGAAGAGAAGGCTGCATGGACACGTCACAGCAGCCTTCCAGTATCTGAAGGGGGGCTATAGGGATGCTGGGGAGGGACTGTAGTGACAGGACTGTAGTGACAGGACAAGGGGTAATGGGTTCAAACTGGGGAAGTTTAGACTGGATACAAGGAAGAAATTCTTTACTGTAAGGGTGGTGAGGCACTGGAATGGGTTGCCCAGGGAAGATGAATGCTCCATCCCTGGCAGTGTTCAAGGCCAGGTTGGGCAGAGCCTTGGGTGACATGGCTTAGTGTGAGGTGTCCCTGCCCATGGCAGGGGGGTTGGAACTTGATGATCTTAATGTCCTTTCCAAACCTAAATATTCTACGATTCTAAAAAGAGGGATTCCACATCAGTCTTACTCAAACTCCCCACTCATATTCACTAATAAATACCTGATATCCATGAATTCAGAGATACAGTCCATTCACCCATTAACTCAGTGATCAGAGAATGCAACTGCTTCCGTAACTAAATCAAACTCTTAATATTTTGTTCTTCATTGGTGCTACTGGAAAACATCTTCAAAACCCTCTTATCACAGTAACTGGCTCTAGCATTTATCAGCCTAAATTTATGTATGATACCAAATGAGGGCAATGTCATTTGTCCTTGTGCTATCATCATCCTCCTGACAGCCAACTTCTTCCTTATGTATTTATAAAGGCAGGTGCATTGCTGCAATTACCTATAGCAGAATGAAAGAGATGGCAATATTAAGGCCATCCTATGAAAGAGGAAAACCTGTCATCTGTAAATTTTATATAACCCGTATCTCCTCCAGATTACCACTAAGGATACTGCTTAGACCTATTTCAGAACAAGCTGACTCTAGTCCATTGTCTCCCCCACACCAAGCAGCTCCAAAGTAAAACCCTTTTTCCTTTACATTTTTCCCCATCACGCCCTACAAGGCCCAAACTCCAGCCCTCATTCCCAACAGCTTTTTCACCTTGGCCTTGCCAAGGCCCCCTCACAGGCTATGCGACAGCCTGCTGTGCGCGTTGGGCTTCCCAAGAACCCTTTGATGGGGCCAGCTCGGCAGCTACCACCACGCAGACACCAGCACCGAGCGGACAAGAAAGCAACCCCTCACGCCGTACCGCCAAACCACCAACGAGGGCGACAACCCCGCCCCGCCAGCGCATGCGTGCTGAGTGGCGCCCACTGACTGGCTCTCCGCTTGGGACGGCCGTACGCATGCGCGCCGCTGTCTGCGCATGCTCTGTGGGTGGGGGGGTGGTTCCGGAGATGCTCTGTGTATGTGGGGGGTATGGCGGGCCGTGAGCTGCGGGACGAGGAGAGGGATGAGGGTGCACGGCTGCGTCGCAAGGAGGAGTTGAACCGAAAGGTGAGCCGGGACGGGTTGAGCCACGGCTAACATCGGCGCCTGTAGGCCGTGGCCCCTCGTCCTCCCCGCGGTGCTGTCGGTGTTAAGGCACGTCCAGGGCTGTGCTGTCGCGGGGGAGAGAGGAGGGAGCGGCGGTCCAGTGAAGCCTGTAACTTCAGGCGTGATCAGTGAAATGAGGGCGAGTGCTGTGAGGAATCTGGGGTCTTGTGGCACTGAGTTTTCATTGTAGGCCTCATTCGTTCTTGTCGGCGTCGCTGTTGGCTTTCTGGTGAGGTTTGGAGATTTTTTGTTTATTACGGCTCCAAGTGGAGCTTGAGATGTCAATGAGGCTTTTCTTTGCAGTTGTATCTACTCAAAAAGTGCCAAGGATTTTCAGTTACAGAGGGTGGCACTCCTCATAAATCTGCTCTATTTCTCCCGTGATACCAATAGGTTTGTTTAATATGAAATCTGTCAAGTCCTATGGAACTGCTTTGTTGTATAAAGTCAATGATAGTTTTGATTGCCTGGGAGGCTATAAAGCTACGGCATGTATTTCATGTTGTCATTCCTGCTATGCTTAAGTGGCTGGTTTAGCCTGTAGCAAAAGATGACACTGTCTGTTGGCATTATAAGATACTGATATAGCTGCTGGAAAATTTGTCTTTTCTGTATGCCGTGGTCAGTTTGGCTAACCTAGCAACTTTCTGCGTTGCACCTGTTCCAGGAGACACGAAGAACAAATTAAAACATGTTGCTTGTTTATGGCGAAAAAGAAAGGCGTTAAGTGCCCTCCAACAAGATCCTGTAATTTTTATGGCTTTCATGAGAGTCCTCCTGATTGCTCTTTACCTTTCACAGCTGTTATTGTAAAAGAAAATGGGAATACCTGCCACCTCTGCCAGTGCAGTTGAACAGAGTGGTAAATCCTTCTAAGGAAGTTCGTGCAAAACTCCAGAAGCAAGGGCTTCTGTTGCTATTAATAACATTTTAAGAGTTTTGACTGTTTGCTGGTTTCATTTTGAATCTGGAGGATACCTGTGATTATAGAGCGTATTGTAGATTTTATGCGAAATTTTGGGTTAAAATTATTTGATGTTTAATTAGTTGTTTGCACGTTTTCTTTACTTCTGGGGGGAAAATGTGATCTCTGATTATAAATAGCTAGAGGTACTCTGGCTTCTCAATAGTGATTGCTTTTGAGGGTAGGAGAAATATTAATCCCTGCAAGATAACCTGTTTCTACGCTTTTTGTATCTACTTCTACTTTGTCTTCAGTGGTCCATTTGGAGAACAGCAACTATATATGCATGTAGCCGTCTTAAAAGAAATCAGTAAGCGTGTTCACCAGCAGGATTATAATACAGTGATTTACTTTTAATAATTGAAGTGCATCTTTTGCCTTTCAGATTAAAGAGCAGAAGGTTGTAGTTGATGAGCTGTCAAATTTGAAGAAGAATCGGGTAAGTATTTACAAATTTGCTTCTGACTGTTTCATTTTAGCATCAGAGAAATAAATATAGAGACAAGAGGGGAAACAGAATTGGAGCACACTGTCTTTAATTTGTTTTAACACAGGTTTTAATGCAGATGTGGGCTGATGTTGTCAGAATAATTTGTCCTTCACTTGTACCATAACACAGTATGTTGTTGGATTTTTTGCCTCTCTTATCTGAGTTCTTTAATTAAGATGTTTGAGTTGATCAGAAGACTTCATGAAGTATTTTTACTTCTCATGTGCATGTGTTTTAAAATAGAATGGTAGCCCTCATGTATGAGAAAAAGCAAAATGCAGACAAGGCATGGGTTGATCATGAAATGTTTTTGATGATACAACATTAGAACGCTGGTGTTCTCAGGGCAGAAATTGTCCTTCTGGAATAAAAATAAAGGGGTATATAAGTGGATCTGCATCAGTTTCTCTTGCAGGATGGTTGCCAGAGTTTCTTGCTCTGATCTAATGCAGTGTTGGTTTTGTTTTACAGAAAGTTTATAAGCAGCAACCCAATAGCAACATATTCTTCCTCGTAGACCGAACAGAAACGCTATCTCAGTGCAAAAGTAAGTTTGCAGTCTAAACATTGTTCGAATAGTTAACTATTTAAAAGCTGTATTTATAGCTGTTAATGATTGCAAAAGTGTGTTAAAATGAAAAGGTGGCAACTGTGTATCAAATACAAAGTAGACTTAAGACAGGCTTGTTTTTCTGGATTGGATAAATGTGAAAGTGTTATGTAGGAAGAGGGAGAATGTCTATCCCACAGAGGAGCTGCTATTGTCAGTGCCCTTTGGGAAGCTGTATACTGGCTTGTCCCTTAAATAAAAATAAAAAAGCCTAAAAATTGCATGGGATGAGTAGGAAGAAAATAACATTAGTTTAACTGGAGGTTAAGTTAGAAATCTTCAGGTATTTGAAAGAAAGGATCTGTGAAATTATGAAGATAGTAGATGGATGATAAAGAGAATTGATGATTGAACAAATGTTAGAAATGTGTAACTTTAGATGTATGAATTTGTTTTCTGGAATGCACAATTTCTACTTTAATTTTCTTTCCCTGTCAACTCACTACTTATCAGTTTATGAAACTGATTATTCATGTATTTCTTACACAGATACATTAGATGAATTAAAGAAGGCACATCAGGAGATGGAAAATTCAGAAAAGACTAAAATCAAGAAATAGTCCATCTGAATTCAAAGCCACCATGTGTGGTATTTGTTGCGTTGTTACCTTGTGTAGGCAGCATGCTATTCATGGTTTCTTTAACGAAGACATACTCTGCCATCTTAGAAGAAGAGGACCAGATAGTAGCCAGCAGTTGATAAAAACTCTGCCTGATCTCCCTTACGAGTGCCTGTTTTCTGGCCACGTACTTCACTTAAGAGGACTGGTGACTCCTCAGCCTCTGCAAAATGCCAATAGCAGTATTTTTCTTTGGAATGGAGAAATATTTGATGGAGTGCATGTAGGAGATCTAGAGAATGACACCGAAGTTATGTTTCATCATCTTGCATTATGCAGTAGTGAAGAGGACATGTTATCACTATTTTCATCAGTTCGGGGCCCATGGTCTTTTATTTATTATCAAGCATCTAGACACACTTTATGGTTTGGTAGAGATTATTTTGGTCGCCGTAGTTTGCTTTGGCAATGCAGTAATGAGGTCAACAGTGCTTTCTGTCTTACATCTGTAAGTGCTTATTCTGAATCAGGTCACCAATGGCAAGAAGTCCCAGCATCTGGAATTTTCAAAATCGATCTCAAAGCTTGCACAGCAACTAAATCTTGGTCTTTAACATTGTTTCCATGGAAGTACAGCTGCACAGAGAAAGCAGTAGAAGAAATACTCATTAATGTTCTGGACCAAGTTTCAAAGGACTTACCAAACCACATGCGTGTTGTGATGAATGAATCAAAACTATGTCTCAGAGCACCAGTTATCCCCTTAAATAAAACAATTTCTGAAGCTTCAGGTCAATGTCCAGGCACTAATGCTAGCAACATTACTCATACGGTTTCTGTAGAAACCCTTCAAGGATTTCTTGCAGAGGAGCACAAGAAAAAGTTAATTTGTCAGTTTATTGATGTTTTAAATGAAGCAGTAAAGAGACGGGTTTTATCTCTCATTAGAGCTGAAGATCAGGAAACAAGAGAAGTTCCAAGCATGTCTAACAGAAAAGCACATATTGCAGTGCTCTTTTCTGGTGGCATTGATTCCATGGTTATTGCAGCCCTTGCTGATAAACATGTACCTTTGGAGGAACCAATAGATCTTCTCAATGTAGCTTTCATGCTGAAAGAACAAGCTAAGCAAAGGGGTACCTCTAAAAACCATACCAACGGGGAGGTACAGCTTGATCTGCCGTGTCCTCAAGAGAGTCGTCAAGACCTTGATGCTAAAACTCGTGCTTGTTTCTCTTGTTTTGATGTTCCTGACAGAATCACTGGTAGGGCAGGACTGAAAGAATTAGAGGCCATTAACCCTTCAAGAACCTGGAACTTTGTGGAGATCAATGTTACACCAGAAGAGTTGAAAAAAATGCGACAACAACGCATTAATCACTTAATTTATCCACTGAATACAGTCTTGGATGACAGCATTGGCTGTGCAATTTGGTTTGCTTCCAGAGGGGAGGGTTTTATTAGTAACCAAGGAGAGCTGAAACCATATAGAAGTCCTGCAAAGGTACTGATTTTTTTGTTGTTATTTTCTGCCTTGTGCTTGACCTGTGAATGTAAAACTAGTTCTGTTGTTTCAGAAATCAGCAAGGGTCTTTAATATTCATAAGGCTTCTGAAATTCAGTGGCATAATGTACAGTAGTTCAATAATGACAATCTTTGTGTAATTCTGGAGTTAAAAACTACATTCAGTTATTTTATGATGTAATATGAATGGCTTTTAATTGAGCTTGAATAAGCAGCAGTGTGATTAGGAAAAAATAACGTCATCTGTCATCTTTGGTGTTTCAGCCCCAGTAGTGAGTAAGAGTTGTTCAGTCCAAATTGAGCAGCTTAACAAACTCAGAGTTATATGTTAATGAATTATTAAATAATTGTGTTTTGTGCCAGCATTCCAGCCCTTGTAAAATCATTACCTTCTTTAGGCATGCTATTTATGTGACAAAATAGCAAAGAGTAGTGGCAGAAAAGGTGACTGTTTGGAAGTGTTTGTAATTAGTGTCTGATCGAATGGCAGAACTACAAAAAAGTAGCTCTTTCCCTTTTGTAACTTGTTTTCATGTGTTTAGTATTAAGTAAAATCTTTTTAGCTACTAAATGATTTTATTTGGCATTTGACTCCTGTTTCTCACTTCCTAATTTCCTGCATCCCTTGCATAGGGATGAAGAATAAAGTGATTAATTTCAGGAATTTGCAGTCCACTGCTGAGACTCCTGTTACTTTCCTACTAATTGCTAGATTCTAAAACCACAAAAAAAAACCAACCAACAGCAGTAAGTCCCCCAAGAAATGCAGTAGTTTGCTTAAAAACTGCTACAGAACACAGCTGATTTAGTTCACGGATCTCCTTCAGGATGTGTTCATCTCAGATTTGCAAAACATACAAATTCATCTTAGGTTCAGGATGTGTTGAAATAGGTCATGAGTTAATAAAACATGAAGCGAAAATGTCATTTTCCCCATCGGGTACCTACTGCTACGTACAGGTAAAAAAGCAGTTGACCACTGGCTGGTGTCAGATGAGTAAAACACACTTGACATTCACTGTTATAGTTAAGTGCTGTTGAAAGCATAGCAGTGGATCAGCTATAGTAGTGTTTTTTCCCTTCATAACATTTTATGTACTTGCTGAGTAGACGACGATTATAAGACATTTTTACATTGTGTGATGCAGTTACTAACCCAGTATTGTAAATTAGTAATCTGGGTGTAACTATTTAGAACATATGATATACTACATAATCTTCAGCACCATTTTTTTATAAAGGCTGGTGTTTAGCAAATGCTCTTCATTGTAATAGAAACTAACGAAGACATTCTTCAAAGATAACTGGTGAATTTGTGATGTATAGAACATTATTTTGTGGGTTTTTCCTTGCATCAGTAGAAATATGTTTGTGTACTTCTAGGCCTGATTGTAAACCTGTTTCAAGTTCCAGTGACTTTGGAACTTTTTCAGGCTCTGTAAATGTGTAAGGCACATCCCATCAGGATAGGCAATATTTAGATGATGTATATTGAAGTGACTCTCCTTAAGATACAGTTAAACATTTAAGATGTTACATATTATTTACTTGCATAGCTACTAAGAAATATTTATTCTGGTTACTTAGGTTGTGCTTACAGGCATTGGAGCAGATGAACAGCTTGCTGGCTATTCTCGACACCGTGTTTGCTTCAAAAAATATGGCTTCAAGGGTCTGAATGAAGAACTTGAAATGGAGTTAGATCGCATTTCTTCCAGAAATCTTGGTAGAGATGATAGAATTATTGGTGACCATGGAAAAGAAGCCAGGTATTACTGTTGTAACTTGAAGCAAAACTGGTTTTGCTGGTTAGATTCTGCTTTAACACTAGCAACAGAGAGCTTAATTGAAAATTCTCTACATTTTGTTGTCTCAAATTTTGTTGCAGTTTTGTTAATGTGTTGTGGGTGTTTGTTTTTTAGAAGAAGTGGTCTCTAGTACTATAGAAAAGTTACCTAAGGAAATGCAGCAATGTGGGTTTCCATCTAGAACTTTTAAAAAGTACCAACACATGCTGAAATAGGCAAAATGAAGTTGATTTTATTATTTTAGCTGGAACAGTCTTTCTGCACGCCTTTGAAGTGCCCTGAAATGGTCATCTGGGGACTCTGAGACTCTGGAGACTGACAACATAATGTGGAAGCCACATATTCCTGTCCATGTAGTAAAGGCATCATCAGTATCTATTGTATTTCCTGGTTGCTAAGTCAGAATAGTTAAAGCAGCATTTTTTTTGTGGTTACTTCCGTCATGTTACCACTTGCTACTTGAAAAAAATTCCTTAGGTGTAGTCCAGTAGCATAGGCCACTCAGTGCATGAAAGGTCTTTTTGCGTGATCTTTCTGCCGGTGTTTTGCCAAATCTGTTCTTGGTTGCACGTTTTCAGTTTAGAAAAACCAGACCCCTTGGAGTGGAGAACAGGCAGTGCATGTGGTTAGATCTGAATGCCTGGAATTCAGGATGTTGTCAGAATTTGTTGTGTAAATATTTTTGTGTCAAAATTACAGTCTAGCTTCCTACAATATATGGTAATACTTAGAAATGACCTTGAAGTGTTACATTTATATTTGTCTTGCTCTGCCATTGTTTTTTTCTGATTTTCTCCATAGTTTTCATTTTGTATAAACCCAGTATTTCTGATGCTTGTTTTTACTCTTTTCTTTGCTTCACTTTTGAAAACTTCCAGACTTCTGAATTTAAACATGATATATATTACATTTGCTTTCTCCAAGACAGTGTAACTGTTTCAAAGATGCGCTTCATTACTGGGACACTAACATTAATGGTACATCTATAGTTAAGAATTGACACAGATTCTGAAGTCTCTGCATGTGGTAAAGGGGAAAAACAAAACTGTTATACATGGGGAAAGACCTTTTAAATATGTCTGTCTTTCCTTCAGGTTTCCTTTTCTTGATGAAGATGTTGTTTCATTCCTCAGTTCTCTGCCCATCTGGGAAAAAGCTGACTTGACTTTACCTCGAGGAATTGGTGAGAAGTTGCTTCTTCGTCTTGCAGCCAAGGAGTTTGGCCTCACAGCCTCAACCATTTTGCCAAAAAGAGCTGTACAGTTTGGATCTCGGATTGCAAAGCTAGAAAGCAACAGTGAGAAAGCATCTGACACATGCAGCAGACTGAAGTAATTTTCAGTAGATGAACTATAAAGCTACGTCTTGAGATGCTGCATTTATTCTGTATACAATTTCAGTAAATCTTTTGGAGGTTTCTTAAAATGTTTGGTCTATTTTTTTATGTACTTAGGCATTATTATTAAGCATCAAAGGAATGCACATAGATGTGAACTTGTACTAGAAACTTATTATGAACGCATTCATGGAGGGGAAGAGAGGATAGCCAGAGGCTGGCTTTCCCACCCTTCCTAACTTGATGTCAGTGATGCAAAAATCATGGATCTGTCTGGGCTGTCATGTATACTGAATTCAGTAAAGGACGTCTTCTGTTGTATAACAGGGCTGGTCCTGCAGCTGTGCTTTAGGAGAGGGTTTAGGCTGTGATTTTAGAAGGGAATGTGCAGTAAGGAGCTGGCCTGAGATGCGAGAGCCAAAAAGAGCTGAGTGTCTTAAGCCTTGTTGCCTCTTAGGAGATCTGCGCTTTAAGCATCATGCTTGGCCACACACCCCCTGGGTGCTTTGGGGCATCCTGTGCAGCTTTGCAGTCCTTGGCCAGTTCTGCAGGGCTGCCTTGGTTGGTGGTCCACAGCACAGGGCTCCCTCTGCTTCTGGAGAAACTGGGAAGTTCCCTCCAAACTGTTCTTTGTCCCTCCTTGGCTCCCTAGCTTGCTACCTCTTCTTTTAACTTTAGCTCGGCTACTTCTAAAGTTGCAAAGCATCCATTGTGTACTTCAGTCAATATATGAATGGGCTTCCTCTGAAGAATGAGTTAGCTTGTCTTCCTAAATGTGTATGGAAGGATTGCAAAGTTCATATAAGAAAGACTGGATATGAGCTGTCCAGTGTTTTTTGTAAGTTTGGAGTTTAGTACTCAACATGCTACCTTACAGTTCTAGTTTTTGTGTTTGTCCAATCAAATAGAGAAAGGAAAAATACCAGAAAAAAAAAAAAAAGGCTGGGATCATTACTTGTAAAACATACAGATCATTGATCTCATGCAAAATTGTAAGAAAGATGACAGGAAATGCTGTAGATGAACACATTTCCAAAAGAGCTCATTTTCCACTGTGGTATTGAAGTGATGGGTCAGATTTTTCAAAAGTCCACTGTACTTGTAAGCTCCCTCTAAAGATAACAAGAGCTGCATTATTTTAGCCAACCTCTTCCTTCAGCAAAGAAACCGAACCCCATTTCTTTTTTCTTATGTTTTATGCCTATAATAAAGACCAAATGGAGGCCTCTCTTAGCACTACATTATTGATTCATATTAGATCTGATTCCATTACAGTTGTACAAATCTATCTCATTGAGTAGATTTTTCAGACAACTGTGTGATCTGTTTCCTTTGACATAATGAGATAGGCCAGAAAATTGGTATGACAGCATTTCTAAATCCTTGATACAAGACATCTCCACTTATGTCTTTGACATAATTACTTGGGGCATTGTTCCCATGTATGCATTTTGGAACAGCTTTAAGTATTTTAATTAAGTAATTTTTGCTGTGTAAACTCTTAGCTGAGATACATGTAACAGTGATCCATTAACTGTATTTACAGTATCACGCAAGAAAGTGTGGTGTTAGAATCAAGCTCTCTGGTTCTAACAATAGTAGTTTTGGTAGGCTTGAGACACACTGGAATCACTCCATCTCCAGAAGGCTGTGTCCTTCGTGGGAAATCTGAATTGCATTTTATCTGTATTTATTGTCTCACAAAACAGCTTTCTAGGGATTTCTTCCTCCTCATTGTTCAGAAAATTTGGAATCGGTGAGACTTCTGATCAGTGAGCCACATGAATAAACATACTGATGGATAGGGCCTATGAAATGTGGCGGTGTTCAAGGCCAGGTTGGACAGAGTCTTGGGTGACATGGTTTAGTGTGTGGTCTCCCTGCCCATGGCAGGGGATTGGAACTAGAAGATCTTAAGGTCCTTTCCAACTCTTAACTATTCTATGAGTATGATTAAATGATATATTGCTGTGCCAAGAAGATAAACTACTTAACACTACAGATAAAATACCAAAAGGTAAATTACTTGTAGTTGAATCCTATGAAAACACCACTCCAGAAATGCTACATAACAAAATGTAGATACTACATACACTTCCAATGCTTTTTTTCTCCCAGAAATTAAGTACTGGAGAAAAAATAATGTATGTTCTTGATTTGTTACATCTTGCCCTCAAAAATGATAAAAAAAAATAAAAATACAAAAAATCAGGTAAGTCTGGCTGTTCATAACTGTCCCACAAATCCCAGTTACTTGTTTGTATTTAAATGAAGGCAGTTTTCAACAAATGCATTATCAATTAGTAAACTCTTAATGAAGAGGTACTTAAAGTATTTATTCCAGTAAATACCACTGCCATGAATAAATCTTATGATTATCAAAAGGCAAGGTCAAATAACATTCACATCAGAACTGAGAAACTGCATCTTAACAGCTGACCTACACTGTGATCAGCTTTACTCAGCAATTTATAAAAAAAGAAAAGGCACAGATCCCATACCCCAAAATGATTATTCTGTATAAACAAAAATAGGCTTTTGACATGACCAACAGAAAATGAGGTACTGCTGAAATTCAGCTGTACTGGCACAGCTAATACACACTGAGATCTTGAAAATGTGTGCTCTCTCACATAGACTTTCTGTAACTTTTCAGTTGTAGAAGGTATGATTTTTTAATATGTAGTGTAAATTACAAACCTTACATAAACTATTATATTGTTAAATTACAAACCTCACATGAATGATATATTACATTGTTAAATTAGAATATAGTAGGTATTATAAATATATAAAGCTTATTAGTAAGTTACAAAGTGTAAACAATGGAGATTTTTTCATTTGTGTAAGTTTATATTTATTAGAAAGTACACTTAATTTTTAGTTGTGTTAATCCCTAGAACTCTTAGACATCTATGGAACAGTAACTGGAATCACTTTGGTGATATCACACAGCATTTATTTCTCTGGTAGGTGATTTTCAACACTTGTAAACCAAGTGCCGTCAGTAAATGTAACATCATTGAAAAAGTTTTTAGTGAAAAATTTATAGTTGCATTTACTTTACCAAGCTACTTTTTAAGATGCCAACTGTAGTATCTTTTTTAGTCTTGGCACCTTGATGGAATCTTCTGCAACTCTTTTTGAAATATCAATTCCAAGGGGAGCTCTGGAAAACAGTAGAATTACTTGCTAAAAATAACATTACTGCTGCATCCCACAGATGTGCACAGTCACAGACTTTTATACAATGAGCATGGGAATCACGGTATTTTTGCAGATTGCCTGCACTGTAAGACTGTGTGACCATTAACATGGTCAATCTGAAGCTGCACCTAGAAACATCTTTACATTAAGGACACGTTTGCATCTGTAGTCATTCCAGACTCAGGAGAAGAGACAATTGTGATTTCAAAGCTGGTTTTGGGGGATGATTTTTTTGGACTCTGATTTTAGTTGATAATTCAGTTTGCATCTCACTGATGAATGCAAGATACACTAGACATTCAGAAGTGTCTTCTATTATAATCTTAATGTATATAGCAAATAAGACTTAGTATTTTATTCTCTGAGATAGATAAAATGAGTTATTTTTCAGGAAGAGTATTTTATCAATTTTTCATTTGAAAACTATAAAACAAGGGATTTTTTTATTTTTTTTTTAAAACAGATCCGAGGCTGCTTTCCTGGAAATGAAAGGAGGAAAAAAAAAGTCAAATTTAAGGCCAGCCGGTACTTTGAAATACTAGTGTTTTGTTTGGCCTTAAGCCTAGATCTACTTCAATCCATAGAACAAGCCTTAACTAACAAGTTATCAAAATAATCAGTAAAAAAAAAAAAAAAGTATGATCAGATGCTATGTTAATTTTTTTTTTAATTGATTCCTCATTATAAATACAGAGTTTGACTTGGAGTACGTTGATTTATGTCTACAGTGACTGAAAAGCTTAACTTGCTCCAGTTTTCCCAGCCCACAGTAGTAATGGGAAGATAACATGGAACTGATACAATGGTAACTGACATTTCTGAGCCAAAACACACAAATGCCAGGCACCATCATTTGCATTTCATACATTGAAAAGGGAGTGATGGTAACTTTTAAAGCTTACCTGCACTGCAAAGACACTCCTCATCAACCTCTGCTACTCTTTCTAGTCTGCACCTCCTTCCACTTTAATTGGCCATAGTAAGCGAAGAAACAGACTGTTGAACAAATTGAGTCACTTACTTTGGTTCATAGCGGATGCCTTCAGTACTGTGTAAAACACCGAGTCCTGCACGTAACCTTTCAATGCCATTCCTACGCAAGAAAACAATTATCTAAAAATGCGATGTCATAAATATGCATACATTGTTCAGTCACCATGAACATAAGTTCTTGCCTCTGTCAGCTTTTAAAAAGCATTAGAGAAATACATGTAAAGAGAAACAACTCTTACCATGCAATCATAACACCATTATCAGTGCACAGCCTTGGAGGAGGACACAGAAAAGCAAAACCATTTATATCTGCCAAAGTCCGTAGACCTTTTCGGATATACTCGTTACTTGCAACTCCTCCTGATATAACCTGAGAGCAGTTGCAAAAAGAAAGAAGTCATTAACTCGAAAGTACTGATTGGTCACTCTCAACATCCTATTTAGAAAAAAGGTTATCAGATGAAGTTCTGAAGGCAGCAATGAATAACATGTTTGAAGATTAAAACATATCTTTGGAAATGAAAACGTATCAGAAAAGGGTATGATAACTGAGCTTTACTATACTAATAGAATCATAGAATAGCCAGGGTTGGAAAGGACCTTAACATCATCTAGTTCCAACCCCCCCTGCCTTGGGCAGGGACACCTCACACTAGACCACATCACCCAAGGCTCTGTCCAACCTGGCCTTGAACACTGCCAGGGATGGAACATTTATCACTCCTTTGGGCAAACTGTGCCAGTGCCTCACCACCCTCACAGTAAAGAACTTCTTCCTTATATTTAACTTGAACTTTCCCCTGTCTAAGCTTGAAGCCATTACGTCTTGTCCTATCACTACAATAGTATGAATAAAATGAATAAGAGAATAAACCCATAACTAGAACAG